GTGCCTGGTTTGTGGAGTCTACTTGTCAATCTGGACTTTGATACACCTATGCTTTTGGAGGAACTCTGTTACCACTCCTAGAAATTATCAGAGAAAATTGACAGTGGATTGACAAGAATGAGAATCCGTTCTAAAGAATTCCAATAGAACGGAATCCTTTATTTCGAAAAGAATGCTCAACTCAAGTGGACACATATCCCTCATTTTGAATTCGTTAGCTATGGCACTGAATTAAGTGCTACTGCATTAGCACTTAAATCAGGGACCGTTTTAGCTGTGTATTTGGAAAAGGTGTGTTCTCTCCCAATAAAAAGCTACTTTTGTTGTTACTTTTGGTCCCCAGGAGAAACCGGAGTCCTTTTCAGACAGCATGGGAGACACATGAGTCCTTTGGAGTCCTCTTGTCTGGCTCTGAGGGTGCAATGAGGGCGTGAAGCAGGTTGGGAGGTGTCCAGACTACAGAGGTAGGCTTGTTTCGGAGCAGAGCTTCACCCTTGGGGTGTGCTCCTTGTCACCATGAGCCATGTCTGAATGAATTAATCACATTTCATATGCAAGCATGTTCTCCGTTTGACTGTGCTATTGTTTTGAATCAGGCAGCCTCGACAATGCTTTAACTTGATAGCCATGAATAATTTCATTCTACGTAATAACGTGTTGGATTGAGGAGAATGCAGTGTTCGAAGAGAAGGAGGCAGAATGGGTTCAAAGCCCCCCGCATAATACTAAGTATTTGGCTGGACACTACAAGTTGTGTGTGAAGCCTGTGTGTGTGTGTGTGTGGGGGGGTGGGTGGGTGGGGGTGTGTGTCTGTGTGGGTGTGGATGTGAAGCCTGTTTGTGTGTGTGGGTGGGTGTGGGTGTGTGTGGGTGTGGTTGTGGGTGTGAGTGTGTGTGTGTCTGTGTTTCTGTCTGCAGACCTGAGGAGCAGATGCTTCTTCCTGTGGTAGCATGTAACTCAGAACCTTGGATAACCCCAGCCCTCCTGAGAACGGAATACATGTATGTTTTAAGACATTTATGTTGACGATTGGTGAGAGCGTGGTGATTGAAACCAGCTCATTTCCCATGCACAACTGAGGGCTGCTCAGCTTTGCTCAAGAGGGTTCCTGACTCTTACTTTGTAGCAGGAGCTACTAAGTGAATCAAGCCTTTTCAAGAGTTTCAGGTGGAAAGGCAAGATATCTCAGGTTAGACCCAATGTTGAAATTTGAACCGGGCAAATTCTCATTATAGACAAGGGACCAAAGACGGTGCCAATGGAATCTAATGTCTTTTGATGTTGACTTCAATCCATTAAAGCTCTTGTGAAGCCATTGAACTGTAACATTGGGCCTGGGAGAGGCAGTGCACCCTCTGAAATTAGAGTTCCGAAGATTTGGATTTGATTTGCAGCCCTGTGCCAGTCAGTCAGCCACTCACTTTCAAGTGACAAGCCTTAGGCGGGTGACTTTCTGTCTCTGTTTCTCGGTTTCTGCACAGGGATTGCTGTGGGCCTGAAGGCCCACTGGGAAACGATCCCTTTTCCAGCTCGGTGCCTGGTTTGTGGAGTCTACTTGTCAATCTGGACTTTCATACACCTATGCTTTTGGATGAACTCTGTTACCTCTCCTAGAAATTATCAGAGAAAATTGACAGTGGATTGACAAGAATGAGAATCCGTTCTAAAGAATTCCAATAGAACGGAATCCTTAATTTCGAAAAGAATGCTCAACTCAAGTGGACACAGATCCCTCATTTTGACTTCATTAGCTACGGCAGTGAGAGACACCTTTTTGAAAATACACAGCTAAAGCTGTCCGAGCTTTATTTGCTAGACCAGTTTTTCAGAATACACAGCTAAAACGGTCCCTGCTTTATATGCATTAGCACTTAAAGCAGGGACCGTTTTAGCTGTGTATTTTGAAAAAGTTGTGTGCTCTCCCAATAAAAAGCTACTTTTGTTGTTACTTTTGGTCCCCAGGAGAAATGGGAGTCCTTTTCAGACAACATGGGAGACACATGAGTCAATTGGAGTCTTCTTGTCTGCCTCTGAGGGTGCAATGAGGGCGTGAAGCACTTTGGGAGGTGTCCAGACACACAAGTAGGCTTGCTGCGGAGCGGAGCTTAACCCTTGCGGTGTGCTCCTTGTGATCATCAGCCATGTTTGAGCGAATTAATCACATTTCCTATGCAAGCATGTTCTGCATTTGACTGTGGTGTTGTTTTGAATCAGGGCCGCCTCGACAATGCTTTAACTTGATAGCCATGAATAATTTCGTTCTACGTAATAACGTGTGGGTTTGAGGAGGAGGCAGCATTGGAAGAGAAGGAGGGAGAATGGACTTGTGTGTTAGGAAAGGTGTCTGTTCCTTTGAAGTATGGATGGGTTCAAAGTCCCCTCATAATGCTAAGTATTTGGCTGGACACTACCAGTTGTGTGTAATGCCTGTGTGTGTGGTTGTGGGTGTGGGTGTGTGTCAGTGTGGGTGTGTGAAGCCTGTTTGTGTGTCTCTCCCTAGTAGTGTTGTGTGACCACTTGTCCCAGAGCAGGACCCCATATCCTAGTGAGACTCTAGTCACAGTCGCCTTCTTCCCTAGTTGTTGTCGAATAAGATGCTCAAGGCTTTGGTCCAAGAGTCGTCTGCATTCCCAAATTCTAGCAGCCTCCTTTCATTAAATGGGGCTGATAGTTTGCACATGTCCTTCTAGTAATCTATGAAAAATTTATTGAAAAAGTCCGTTTGTTCATGTCAGTAATCAGGGCCATGACCAGGGGCATGGCTCATAAATATCTCTGGACTGACACTCACCATGCCCTCAGGCTAATACCACATACATTATTTCAAGTGAGAGAATGCTCTCTGGGCAGAGAGCAGCAAGGGACACTGTGGGTCTGCTCAATGGGCGACCACAGCTGTGTCAATCCCTCCCACCCCACAAATTCCTCAGGGATGGGCAGTAGAGCCTGGCTTCACTGAGCCTGACTCTGCAGTTGTGTTCTGCCTGGGTGTGGTCCCAGCACCCACTTCCTTTCAGGTCTGGCCTGCCAGACTCCCCTCTTCACCAGCCCCTAGGACATGAATAAATACATGGAGTGAGGTAGAGGCAGGCAATGTGGGGGACACATTTGCATCCATAACTCTTCCTCTCTGAGGTCAGTGTAGAGGATAAGAGGTCTGGGCCCAGCCACTCCAGCTCTAGAACTCAGGAGAACTGTGTTGAGCATAGCCTGGACTACTCTCCTGCTGCTTCTCTCTCAATTCTCAGGTAGGAACAGGCCTCTCATGTCCAGGCCATGTACCTCAGGTTTCACCAGTCCCCTCTGTCTAAGATCTTATGGCAACGTTATGCTGGTAGGTGACTGCCAACACTCTTGTGCATCTGTGTCTACAGGTTCCCTCTCCCAGCCAGTGCTGACTCAGCCATCCTTCCTCTGCATCTCCAGGAAAATCATCCAGGCTCTCCTGCACCCTGAGCAGTAGCTTCATTGCTGATTTCTACTGGATATACTGGTACCAGAAAAAGCCAGGGAATCCCCCCACCCCAAGTATCTGCTGGACCACTACCAAAATTCACTTCATGACTGGGGCTCCAGGGTCCCCAGCCACTTTTCTGGATTGATAGTCCAATAAAGGGCCCTTGCTCATATCTGAGCTCCAGTCTGAGGATGAGGCTTACTATTACTGTATGATTGAGCACAGTGGAGCTTCTCAGGCTGACACATGCAGGTGGGGAAGTGGGACAAACCTCAGCTTGCTCAGAGTCTTTTTCTGATGATATTTAGATCTTAAAATAACTTGCATATACAAACTCCACATGGAAGCACCTTCTGGCTCAAAAAATGCTCTCTCAATTTTCCATTGACTGCTTCTGAAGCTTTAGGAATGCTGAAAACAAAACCAAAAAACCTACAGATCCTACTGAAGTGTTGTTCAGTTACATAGATTTGCTAAACCCTCAGTCTGTAGAGGTGTTTTGTTTTTATTTTCTTGAAAGGAGGGAAATTAACTTTTTCCAGTTTTCATTTCAGCCAGTGGTTGAAGACTATCCCAGCAGGTGGATAGTCCCCTACAGCATGGACTCCGTCTTTGAGTGGTCAGATGAGAGACCTCCCCTTTCCTCCCCAGACATCTTTTTCTAACCCTGATCAGCTATGCTTCGGGCTACCTGAGGCTCCCTGTGACTCAGGGATGAGGCAGTAAGGTGTGAAATGCTGAGAAATTCAGACCTAGAGGACTTTCAGCACAGAGCTGGCCTGGCTCACACGCAGTTACCTGCACCTTCAGTTTTCATGTCAGGAGGCTGGGGATTGGGATGGAAGAAAATAAGGGCCTGAGGCCACCAAATTTTTATGTGGGGCACAAGAGGGTAGAGTGGAGGCTACCCAATTGCTGGAAAAACACTAAACCTTCTCCAGCGAAGTTCGGAGAAGTTGGTCTCATGGATGTGACTTTCCTACCACTGATCCACTCAGAACATTAAAAACCCTCATGAGAGGGATGAATGGGATTTCCTGGGCTCACAGGAACTGTCAATCCAAAGAGTTGAGCTTTGTAAAATATTTGAAGAGATTTATTCTGAGATTATGTAGTATTTAGTTTTCTGCTCTTGTGTTAGAATGCTAAGGGCAGTGGCCTCCAGCTCCATCCATGTCCCTGCAATAGACATCATCTCATTTTTTTAATGGCTACATACTATTCCATAGTATAGATGCACTACATTTTCTTCATCCAGTGTACCATTAATGGGCCTTTAAGTTGATTTCATGTCTTTGCTATTGTGAATAGTGCTGCAATGAACATACAAATGCATGTGTCTTTATAGTAGAACAATGTATGTTGCTTTGGTTACATACTCAGTAAAAAGATTGCTGGGTCAAATGGTAGTTTTGTCTTTAGGTCTTTGAGAAATTGACACACTGTCTTCCACAATGGTTAAACTAATTTACACTCTCACTAACAATGTAAAGTCATTTTTTTCTCCACGATCTCATCAGAACCTGTTATTTTTTTACTTTTTAATAACAGCTATTCTGACTGGTGTGAGATGGAGTCTCGTGATTTTGATTTGCATGTCTCTAATGATCAGTGATGTTGAGTTTTATTTCATAGAATTGACGGCTGCATATATATCTTCTTTTGAAAAGCGTCTGTTCGTGTCCTTTGTCCACTGTTTTTTTCAGAGGGAGTCTCACTCTGTCACCCAGGCTGGAGTGCAGTGGTGCAAGCTTGGCTCACCACAACCTCCACATCCCAGGTCAAGCAATTCTCCAGACTCAGCCTCCAAAGTAGTTGGACTACAAGCATACACCACCACGCCCAGCTATTTTTTTTTTCTTTTTTGTATTTTTACTAGTGACAAGATTTCACCATATTGGCCAGGCTGGTCTTGAACTCCTGACCTGAAGTGATACACCTGCCTTGGCCTTAGAAAGTGCTGGGATTACACATAGTAGCCACTGAGCCTGGCCTCTGCCCACTTTTTATTTTATTTTATTTGTAAATTTGTTTATGTTTCTTGTAGATGGTGGATATACCTTGTCAGATGCACAGTTTACAAAACTTTTTTCCCATTCTGTAGGCTGTCTGCTCACTCTGCTGATAATTTCTTTTGCATTACAGAAGCTCATTAGTTTAATTAGGCCTCATTTGTTAATTTTTGCTTTTGTTGCAATTGCTTTAGAATCTTTTTAATAAAACATTTGCCCATGACTATGCCCTCAATGGTTTTGTCTAGGTTGTCTCCCAGCGTTTTTATAGTTTTGGATTTTATATTTAAGCCTTTATTACATGTTGAGTTAATTTTTGTATATGTTATAATAACGGGATCCAGTTTCAATCTTCTGCATATGGCTAGCCACTTAGTCCAGCATTTTTTATTCAAGAGAAAATTCTTTCCCTGTTGCTTTTGTCAGTGTGGCCTTATTTCTGGGCTTTCTGTTCTCTTTCACTGCTCTGTGTGTGTCTTTAAACCAGTACCATGCTGTTTTGGTTACTGTACCCCTGTACAATAGTTTGGAGTTGGGTAACATAATGCCTCCAACTTTGTTCTTTTT